CCAAACCTACAGCTGAGGCTCCAGCCAGACCCTGCTGTGGTGGCTTACACTGGCAGAGCTGTAGACTAGTTTTCATTTGCCCATAGAGGTGATGAAATAAATGTGCAAACTCAGTAGTGTAGCAGTTGAGAGAGCGGTTATTAAAGTAAGTTAAAAAAAAAAAAGAGCTGAACAAATGACCAACCTACAACAAATTTTTCACAATAGTTAAAGGAGTGGAAATTGTTGTAAGTATTCAACCATTTGTAGACCAACTGGAACTTTTATACCTTGCTGGTGGACTACAAATTGGTATGACTACACTGGAAAGGCATTAGGCAGTTTCTTATGAATTAATCTTAACATTTGACCAAAAATTCCACTCCAAGAGAAATTAAAACAAGAGAAATTTACCCAAGAGAAATTAAGACATATATCCACAGAAGGACTTTTGATTGTACCAGTCTTATCCATCATAGTCACAAACTGGAAACAACCAAATGTCCATTTACTGGTGAGTGGAAAAACAAAGTGTGGTATATTCCTATAATGCAACACTACCCAGTAATAAGATGGGATAAACTAGTGATACAGGTAACATTTGATGGATCTGAAAATGTTTATGCTTCATTGGGTGAATGGATAAATATCCTGTCGGACACATCTGTACAATGGAATACTATTTGTCAATAAAGAGGAGAGACTGTTGATGCACACAACTTGGATGAATCACAAAGGCATTTTGCTGAGTGAAAAAAGTCAGTCTCAAAGGTTACATAATGTATGACTACTCTTACGCAACATTATAAGGATGGAGAAAAGCCAATGGTTACCAGGGGTTGTGGGTGGAGAGTGTGTGCACAGGGAATTTCCTTAGGATGACGGAATGACGGAACAGTTCTGTGTCCTGATTGTAGTAGTGATTACACAAACCTATACATGTGATAAAACTTCATAGAATTGTATACCAAAAAAAGCGCATGTAAAAACTATTGAATTAGAATAAGGTCTGTAGTGGGCCAGCCCGGTAGCACACTCGGTAGAGTGCGGCGCTCTCGCTGAGGGTTCGGATCCCCTATAGAGACTGGTCTGCTCACTGGTTGGGCGCGGTGCAGGCGCTACACCGAGGGTTGTGATCCCGTTACCGGTCACGAAAAAAGACAAAAAAAGGAAAAAAAAAAAAAAAAAAAAAA